AATTTCAAACATTTCTTTTCTGATGGCCTTTCGAAGATTTTCGTGAAGAGAAATGCTGGTTTATAATTTTTTCTGATAAAATCCTACTTCTACTAAACTATTCTTGCTACTCGAGTTTATGAAAGAGGTATACATATAACGCGCAAAAATCATAAACAATTAAATATTTCGTAAACTATGATATTAAATATCTCGTATAACTTTTAACGATTTTTAATAATTTATACTATTCTGGATTAATGGGAGGGGTATACTATTATTACAATTTATTAAAACTTATATATTATTAGGTGTTGGAATTAATTCGTAGCGTTTTACAAGTGATGGGAAGTACTTTCATTAATGTATTTTTTAATGCTCATGTGAAATAAATAACATTCTTTCATTAAAAAACGCTACGAATTAATTCCAACACCTAATATTTAAAATGCCCCTCGCCCCTTATTGATGCTAGGGACTGCCGAGTGGCCGAGATTTTCTAAGAAAGCATTTTCGGTCGATTGAAATAAGCGACTAGTGTGAGAAGGAGCTCAATGTCTCGTTCACTCTCGGCGCACTGAAGGCAAACACACATAAAAGACTTTGATTCTTTCCCTCGGTTACTTTTTTAAAACTTCCAAAAATTCAGATTATTTTGTCTTTACATTAAATTTAGTTACAAATGGACGTGAGGATTAGTCGTGTCGTTAATCGTGCACGAACTATGAGCATTAATGTAGAATAGTAGTCATTTTTCAGTTTGTGAAAATTTCCGAGGAAAAGAATCGAAGTCCTTAGGTGTATATAGGTTCGTGCTTGAATGTATAGCTACTGGTTTCGCTAGACCGCCGTTTGATTATGTCGCTACCGTCAATGCAGAGTTCTTGGCTGAGTAGTCAGTATAAAATTATATATCGGTAATGCAATTGTTCATTTAATCAAATGGCTTTTATATATTTTTTGTGATAGTGATGTATAACTAGCAGCTCATGAGCCGCATCCAGCCCGTGAGATTGCCTACTTCAACTCGCGATGTTCAAACCTGATCAATGGAAAAAATAAAAAATACTGAGTTATTACACGCGCGTAGCTCTGCATTATTTTGATATATAACGTAGAATCACACACACACACACACATACACACACGCGCGCGCGCGCGCAAACGCACACGTACACGCACACGCCCACGCACACGCACAAAAGCGCGCAATATTATTATGTTATATAACATATATGTATATAATAATATACATAATAAAATTAATAAATATAATTGGAATTATTCTGTTTTCTTATATTTTCTAAATCCTTCAAAGTTTTTTTTAATATGAACTTTATGAAAAGGTAGGGGCCCATATTTATTTTTGCAGTAGGGCCCTGAAACCCTTACACAATTTTGATTCAATCAATAGAAATAGAACTCATAACGGTCGAAGCTGAATCTTTAGTGCTTAAAATAATTTGATGTGCATTTATGTATTGAATTCTTCCAAATTGTGCGCCGAATTGATTTTTTGATTTTGTGATTTTGTGACTATGATTTTGTCGGTATAGTGTTTCGAAACCGAAAAATCAATTCAGCGCGATTTGACAGAATTTGATACGTAGTATATAAATTAATATCGAATTTAAGCACCAAAGATCCATCTTCGGTTTGGTCGACTCTATTTCCTATTGGTTGTGTATTCACATGAACGGTCCAATTCTTATGTTTAAAAATGATAATATTGTAAAAATGTACATAAAATTGGAAAAGATAAAATGCTAGTGATAGTACACACAGCCACGGCAGCAAATCTTTTTGTTATTTACTCGGACATAATCTTTTTATATACTGATTTATTCTGAGATCAGGTAATAAAAAATGTGCCGTTAGGTTAGAATCAGACTACGCATTCAAGATTGAAGATTGAAATTTAAAACTAATGAGGACAAAGGAATTTTAGCTTCTATTATTTGATTGATCAAATTTTGAATCTCAATTTTCAATGCGTAGTCTGATTCCGATCTGATATTGATCTTAGAAGAAAAAGAATTAAAGCGTATTATATAATCATCGAGCAAGCTAGTCAGAGTGCACAGACTAATCGGTCTTGAGAAAAAATAATAAAATTGAATATGTTCCATCTCGGACGATGTGCGTAAAATTCACCGGCCAAATTCTTCTAAGTATGTTATACTGTGATAGACATGAGATCGAACGTTTCATAGCTAAGATATGAGTATGTTATTCTTGTTACAGTGTAACAATTCTTTAAAGAGTCATCACAAAATTAGGTATTTTGGACCTCTAATTTTGAAGCAAATATTGTGCCAAATGATTAGTCATAATGAGACAATAATCGCATAAAATTTTTAAGTTGAGCATATGATTGATTTTCGAAATAGAGAGTCAAAGTAGTGTCTGTCGCTTGAGAAAGTATACACTATTATATTGGGAGTACAAATTAGTTCGGTCCGTTTTTTTGTGTTCAAAAATGCATTTATTTCAAAACAAAATGAATGAACAGATTAATTCATTGATTGTCCATCGCTGGCTACTACTTTTTCCCATCTCTCAGGCAATTTTCGAATTCCATCTCGAAAAAATGACTCGTCTTTGGAGGCGATCTAATTTTGGAGCCAATTTTCAATTTCTGCGAAAGAAGTGAACCGGTGACTTGTCAAATCGTGCTGCATCCTTCGGAACAACCAGTAATCAGAAGGAGCAATGTCCAAAGAATACAGCGGGTGCGGTAAAACATCCCATTTGAGCGTTTTCAAATATTTTTTTACGACTTTTGCGACATGAGGCCGAGCGTTGTCATGAAGAAAAATAACTCTATCATGTCTTTGCTCGGATTCGATTGTTTTTCTCGCAATGCATGACTCATTTTTTTCTTCTTGGGGTTGTCATAGAATATCCATTTCTCATCTCCAGTCACAATCCGATGCAAAAAACCTTTTCTTTGTTGTCTTTGAATCAGCTGTTCGTAAGTGAAAAATCGCCTTTCAACGTCTCTCGGTTTCAGTTCATAAGGTATCCAATTTCCTTGTTTTTGAATTATTCCTATGGCTCTCATTCATGCAGAAACGGCTTGTTGAGTTACTCCCAATGATTCTGCAAGCTCCTCTTGCGTTTGACTCTGATCTTCTTCGAGTAATGCCTCTAATTCTTTGTCTTCGAATTTTTTTGGCTGTCCAGAGCGAGGCTTGTCTTCAACGCTGAAATCTCCATCCTTGAAACGTCGAAATCATTCCCTACATGATTTATCAGTTGGAGCAGTGTCACCATAAACTTCGACAAGCATTCGATGAGCTTCAGCACTTTTCTTCCAATTAAAATAGAAAATTAGAACCTCCCGCAAATGCTGCTTGGTTAACACAAAATTCGACATTTCAAACACCACATAAAAATCAAGGTTTTTGTATGAAACTCAAAGCGATATAAACTGAATATTATTAGCAGATGTCTAATCTCTCTGAAAACGCCAAAATCAGTTGTCACTATGAACCATTCACAATCGGAGCCATTTTGGAAAACGGACCGAATTAATTTGTACTCCCAATATTTAAGAAAAAACACAATACATTTTTATTCTATAAAAAAAACATAAGTCTTTATCAACTCTGATTTTCACTGAGCTAATATTCATGTTAAAAAATAGTCTCGACAGTATTTTAATGTTTTTTGAGTTGCTGGTTATGAACGTGAAATCTGAAATCTAAAATTCAAAATGGCGGATCTAATATGACTGCCCGACATTGCGAAATTTAAACTTATACATTTAAACAGATTCGCAATCAGCGATCTGAGAAATCTTTGAGAAGCAATCTTTAGTCAAATTATTTTTAATTTTTGAATTCAGACTACAGATTCGTAATGAGCGACCTAAAATTCCCGAGAAGTAATTTTCATTTAGATTATTTTGAATTTCGCAATATCGGTTAGCCATATTGGATCCGCCATTTTGAATTTTGGAATTTAGATACCAGCGTTCGTAACCAGCGACCCAAAAAAACCATAAAATACTGTCGGAATTATTTTTTAACCTAAATATTAGGGCCATGAAAATACAATAGTGTTAAACATTCTCAAAGGATAGACACAACTTTGACCCTCTATATTTCGCAAACTAGTCATATGATCAACTTAAAAATTTTATGCGATTATTGTCTCATCATGTCTCACTAATCATTTGGCACAAAATTTGGTTCAAAAATCGAGGTCTAGAAAACGGGCAATTTTTGCGATGGCTCTGTAAATTAGAAAAGGTCATATCAATAGAAGATGTAAAAGCAGTGCGTATGCATGCTCTGTGAAAATGTGTCACACGAAGGTAACGAAATTTGCTTTTTAAAAGAATGTCCTCCGAGGTGTATACATTGCCTGGGCAATTACTTACCAATCTTATGGGAGTATCCGGAAATGATAAAATAGAAAATGATTTTAGTTTTGGCAGCAATGGAGAACATGTCCATGATGGAAGCCAAAAGAAGAATTACGTCAAGTTCAACAAATGATGGATTCAGCTCAGATCTTAGGATGGATTTCGCTAATTTTCCACATTTAAGGAATGGGAACCTGAAAAATACTAAAAATAATTTTCTCACGCAGGCCAATAAATTCAATCAGCGCTTAACAAAAATGATGTAAATGGATGACTCATACGTTGATATAGTTGAGGATAATAATGAACAAGTTTTATCTTATAAAAATGGTAACAGCAATCAGAGTAGTTTCTCCTATTACAAGCCTTAAACTATGAAATTGAAAAAGACATCTACCTTAGTAAGAAGAGATGAACTACAGCTAATGTCCAATGATAGAGCAGGATTATTCACAGATAATGGAGTAATTTTCGCAAAGGAAATCGGTATAGAAGATAAAGGGACATCATTTATATTATCTTCTTCTTTTTTCTTCTTAATAGCGCATCAAGTCAGATTTTATGTCTGGCTGTGTGTGCGTGTGCGTGCGTGCGTGCGTGCGTGCGTGCGTGCGTGTGTGTGTGTGTGTGTGTGTGTGTGTGTGTATGATTAGTATGATTAAAAATATAATTTCTCTTTTTAATAAAAAAAAACTTAAAATATTTTAGTCCATCAGCCAATGATAGTTTAGATTTATCGAATCAAAGACTCGATGATAAAGCTGGAGCTGAATTTGAAGAGCCAAGTAATGTGTGTCACTTTCAGATTTTTTGATGAAAAATGAAGAGAGATGGAGTTTGTGTGCTACAGTGGAATTGATGTAGCGTACGAAACAAATTTCCTTAAATCTTCTACAAAGTTATAGACTATAAAATCATGTTTTTGCAAGAGATAGTATTATTCCTAGATAGTTTATGTCATGTAAACAAGCATTAGAAAGGACAAGTCGAATAAGGAGAGAAAAGCATTAGTATGATCATTAACAAAAATGTTAAATATTGTCATGTCAGTTTTAGACATGACAATATTCAACTAATTTTAGAAATACAAAATTATTATTAATCTTAGGGATCAATGGTATGCTATAATTAACAGACATTCGAATTAAAAGATTCCATCACAATATATGTAAAAATGTAAGTAAAGCGAGTAAAGAAGCATAAGACTTTTTTCTGTAAAAATGAGATAACAAGCATGAACTGTGATTCATATATGCGCATCTGGGTCTTGTAAAGCTACTTGATTTCAGATACTGTTACATGCTTTAAGTTAAAAGATGAAAATGACATAGACTACACAGGTGAGAAGAAAGTGGTTCACTTGCACACTGTAGCAATTGTTCACTGCCAATCATAACGACTTTTGCGTAGATAAATTTTTTATTTTTTTATTTTTCTTTTTTATTATTTTATTTTTCTAGCACTGTGATTGGCTTGTGCACAATTGGCTTGTGTATAATTGATATATACGAGAGAAAGGCGATTTTAGATTATTATTGCATTTGTAAGTCAGACACAAGGATAGTATATAAGTACATGTGCACGCGTAGCCAGCGTGTTATGGCACTTAGGATATGCACGACATTAGCCCAATGTATCCCTTTTCGTTGTTATTAAACACAATAATAACAAATGCTATTTCAAGACCACAATAGAATCCGAATAATAAAAAAATAAATTAATAAACAATTGAAATAATTTATTTTTTATTAAATAACAGCGCGAGAATAGATGGTGGATAGCGTCCGAGTCTACCATGCTAGGGGACTCGAGTTCAATCCCCGACAGATCTACGAAATTTTCACACGCTCGTATCTCCTCTTTGGTGATCTGAAAAACTACCAAGAATATCTATTGCCAAGAAAACCTCTCAAACTGCTGTTCGAAACTGGCATCAAATTGTAGGTCCCGTATGTCTGTGTCAATCTTGCATGTCAATCTCGCACCACTGACATATGTAGGAGAAGTAGGCCCTATTCAGATAGGGAACGAGAAACCGAAAGGAGTCATTATAGAACTGGAGACAGATTAAATAACTGCATCGGAGCATTTATTTAACCATACATATACATGCACGCACACAGGCGTGGACGCACGTACACACGGGACCAGTTCTCTACCACGTTCATGTTAGTCCTATATTAAGAGTAAGAAATTATATATTCTATAAAAAAATATCGTTTTATATTATCGTTTTATATCGTGAGTTGAATACATATCTTTGATATTATGAGTGCGTTTCGATATTCACTGCCAATACTGAAAATCTATAGCTTACGTAACGTATACTGTACAGTTTCCGCATTGGCAGTGAATCGGAACGCACCCTACATTTATATGATCGTATTATATACAGGGTGTCATGAATATACGGTCCCACTCGTCCCGAGCAGGTAGAGTGGACTAAACTGAGTAGAAAAGTCCTCTATCATTTTGTAATGCTCGCAATAATTAACGAGATATTAACGTTTAAAGATAGCCGAATATGCACCGAATATGGTCCTCTCGACCAATTATTGCCGAAAGTACGGCCCACCGAGCGCGCGGGCCACGAGGAGCGGGGCTTACCGTCGCGAGACTCTAAGCTCAAACGGCGCAGCGCGCCTGCTGCGCCAATCCCGGCCCGGCCGCCGTGCGTTCGGTGGGCCGTACCTTTGACAATAGTAAGCCGTATATTCATGCCACCCTGTATATATATCTTAAAAATGTATTGGAGGCTTTGGTTCAGCCTGTAACAGCAATAATGATAATTATTTAATATATTGGCTAAGAATAAGTTATGGACGATCAAAAGAGCGGAACAAAGATCAATTTGTTTTAGGTTCCTGTGCATTGAGGCATTCCAAAGAATGAAAAGGCGGACAAACTTATCAAGGTTAGTATTAATAGTCAAGACTGAGCATGTATTTAAAATACTTTTATGTATTCGTAAGATAATTAATATATTTTGCATTTTACGGAGCATATAAAAGTGTTTTCTATTTCAGTATTAATAACAAAAGATTGAAAGTATTTTGTATTTTGTATTTTAAATATTAAGATAGACAATTAATCTTATATTATTTGAATTACAGAATACAAAGACTTTCATTTTTTTAAATACAAAATACGTAATACTTTTAATTCTGCTGAAATACAAAATACACTTGTATTGCAAAAACAATGTTTTAATATATAAAAATATTTCAAATACATACTTAGTACTCAATGGCCTTAAACTTTATTTCAAGTTTCGTTTATGGATTTTTCAGCAGAATTTAACAGCAAGAGAAAATTTGAAAGGAATGCGCTCAATCTAAGAAGTAACAATACGCAGAATTATATTATAAGGAAGCAATCAAGCCGTATCAAATAAAAGCCTTGAAAAGAGAAGAAATTGTGATGATTAACCGTATACGCAGCAATCACTACAACTTGAATTTCAGTTTATTCAGAAAAAGTATTATAGATTCTCCGAACTATCCTTGCGAAGGAGCAAGTCTGTTGTATTGTCATCTGTACAGGCACAATAGACAAATAATATCAGAAAATATATATAATATGAGAAATTCTCTGAATCTTCAAATAATATTCTCTATGTTCAAAGATCCCTCTTCCCAAAAGTATGTTGATTCCTATTTGCGGTGTTGTTTAAGTCAATCAATCAATATCCAGATTTGAATCCAACTGACTGGTCGCTGGCGCCTCTCTCTCCTCGGGGGAGAGAGTGCGCAAAGCAAGCGGGTGATCGGAGTTCAGGCTCCACAGAGATATAGAGTATAATATCTAAATCAGTTTTGTATTTGACCGTATTATCGGCAATTGGTTGACAGGTGCTATTTTATTTTAGAAGAAAAAGAAAGTGGAAATCAGTAGTAATTACATAACGCTGATAAGTAAAGCGAAACTTTAAATGAAGCGAAACTGAAAATTTGATGTTACTTCGTAATTAAAAAATTATATTTATAATTATATTTTTTAAATAATTAAATTAAATTTAAAAAAAAATTTTTATAAAATTTTGCCCAAATTAAATTTACCATTTCTTATTTTTTATCTCATTCAAATAAAGCATTATTATCGAGTTTATTTTACGAGTCAAGTTTTATAAAAATCGAGCGAACAGTTTGCAAAATAAAAAAGGGATGACCCCAAATGGGATCGGTCTACAAAGAGTTAATTTATGTATTTTGCGAAGTTCGTAAAAGTTTTAAGATTTGACAGTGCTCTATTTGTATTCGTATAGCTCCGTATCCATGTGTAAAAATTAGTCAGAGATCATTATCTAAAATATCAATTTAAAAAAAATAGAATCTTCAAGCCTTAAAATAATGAATCATCTCATTATGATTATTTTTAACGAGTTATTATGATTTAAATATAGTTAATGACTATGTTTAGATTACAGACTATGTTTAGATGGTTACCTACGAGTATTAATGAGCGTGTTGAAATGCGCACTCATCAGTGCTTACTAATATTACCGCATGCGTGACTGATGGGCATTTAACATAGTCTATAACTGACATTTAACATAGTCTATAACATAGTCTATAACTGACCATATTTAAACATTTACTATCATAAAAATTACGACTTAAAATAAAAATTTACAAATAATGTTTTTATTTAATTTTTCAAGAACTTTCTTGCTATATATAGTATCTAGAATTGCAAATTTTGAGATATCTTGTATGGTGCTTTGTCTCTTCTCTACGTATTTTTCCAAATACTCAAACAAATGCATTCATACAAAAAATTTTTTAAATAAAATTCCAGTAATATATTAATAATTGTATCTAGAATATCAAGAATTGATGTACTATATGTTTCTAAAATCATAAGTACATTTAAAATATTGATTTAATATGAATCATAAAAAATTTTTATTACGGAAGAATTATATTTTTAGTAATATATACAACGTAAGTCTGATAAAAAAATTCATCACGTTTTTTCCGAAAACAATTAGAAATAAGGGGAAGGTACCTATTATCAAAATAGTATTATAGAATAAGTAGGACCTACTTTAATGACTTTGAGTCCTGAACTTTAACGTCCTTGTTTTTTTTACTACAAATAAAAAAGATTTTTTTTCAATGGGAAGTGTTATTTTTTTAATCATTGTACCACTAGTACTCAATCAGTCGAATATCTTATATTAGAATATTTCTTCGAAAACTCAACTATTTTCGGGATATAAACTAAAAGAAGTCAGATTATAAATTTGAAACAAATTTTTTTACTATTGCAATAAATCTGAAATATTCGAACATTTCACCAAAATGTTCACCATGTTGATCTAAACATGCTTATAGTCTTTGTTGGAAGCTCGCTTAAACTTTTTAGAAACTCTTGAAAATAAAAAAAAATGAAATATACTTTTTATTATATTTTTTGGAATAGTAAGATGTTAAAAGTAAAAAGTGAGAGAGCAGTTAGCTTACTTTCAACGTCCTACCTATTCCGGAAAACATAAAAAAAATAAAAAATATTTTTCGTGCAATTATTAAAAAATTAAAAAAATCCAAGCAAGCTTTTCACGAAGACTACAGGCATGTTTCAACATGGAGAACATTTTGAATATTTATTGCAATAATAAACAAATTTGTTTATTATTGCAATAAATGTTTCAAACTTGTAGTTTGATTTCTTTTAGCTTATGTCCTGAAAATTCTTGAAAAAATATTCTAATGCAAAGCTATTCAGTTGACTGAGTACTATCAAATAAAATAACTAAAAATTACCTTTTCCCATTACAAAAAATCTTTTTTTATGGTAGTAAAAAAATCTCATATAAAATTACTCAAGATCATCAAAGTATGTCTCTCTACTCATTCTACAGTGATAATAGATGTCTTTCCCTTATTTCTAACTGTTAAAAAAAAAATGTAAAGAACTTTTTATCAGATTCACTATATAACTAGAATATGTTTTAACAATGTTCCATATAGATATCTTATTCTTACAAAGGATACGTTCCACTTAACGTTCGCAACGCTCGCATGTATCATCTCATCCTTATTTAATATTTGATGACAAGAAGGATGAAACAATTCTCGCGAACGTTGCGAACATTAAGTGGAACTCATGTAAAGTGTGATAAGCTAATAACTCGAAAAATGTGAAAAATATAGAAAAACATTTCAGTCAAAAATGAAACGGTTGAAAGGAGAATTTTACGTTGTTTTTTTTTAGAGACGCCAAAAAGATACAAAAGTCACTATCGCTTTTTTAATAGATTTAAATTATTTTCTTTACATAATATGATTAGTCTAATTATTTTATATACAAGGTGTCCTCAAATAATCGCCAAATATTTCATGGGCAGGTAGAGCGGACTAAACTGAGTCCTAATCGAAAAGTTCTCTACCATTTTGCAATTTTCGCAATAGTTAACAAGATATTAATTATCAATACATATGTAGAATAAATTATATACAGGATGTCCCAAAATAATCGCCAAATATTTTATGGGCAGATAGAGCGGACTAAATTAAGTCGAAAAGTCTTCTACTATTTTGCAATTTTCGCAATTGTTAACCAGATATTAATTATTAAAAATTGTCGAAAATTGGTTTTCAATAATTTTTTATTCAAATACTATCAACTTTACAGAAAAACTGCAAAAGACAAAAATTGTTAGTTTTCTTCTCATAGAGCTCTAAAAATTTTTTTAGAATTTTTTATCAATTTTTTAGTACTGCGTTTTCTTATTTCTATCAACTTGAGAAAATACGGTATCAAAAAATTTTGAAAAAATTCTTTGAGAGTTTTATGAGAAGACAACTAACAATTTTTGTCTTTTGCAGTTTTTCTGTAAAGTTGATAGTATTTGAGTAAAAATTATTGAAGACCAATTTTCGACAATTTTTAATAATTAATATCTGGTTAACAATTGCGAAATAGTAGAGGACTTTTCGACTTAATTTAGTCCGCTCTATATAATATTTGACGATTATTTTGGGACATCCTGTATATAATTTATTCTATATATGTATTGATAAAAGTATTAAGGTAGAAGTATAAAAAAGCCAATAGTTTTCGAGATATTTTATACTATATTATGGCACATATTGACATATATTGACATAAAATATTAAAGAAAGAATTTTATTGGAGCGATGTGAATATACAACTAATGGGAAATAAAAGTCTTTTAACAGTCGAAACTGGATCTTAAGTCCTTAAATAATTCGATCTCATACGTCACATAAAAATTGCGCGCCAAATTGATTTTTCAGACTTTTAAAACGCAATTCGACAAAACTGTAGTGGTAACATAATAATTTGATGGCATTTTGGAAAGATCTTAATAATGCTGATAAATTTAATTATTAAAATCTATAAATAATTTTATTCCGAAAAACATTACATGGTACCGAGATTCAAACCCAGATCTACCTCTTGCTGGATGGGCATACTCATAATCAGACTATTGAGGCCTTAGGTAATGCAAATCAATTAATCAAATTATCATATTACTACGAATTATTATATTAGTTCTGTCGGGATTGCATTTTAAAAATGTTTGAAAAATTAATTTGGCGTGCAATTTTCATAATAACATATAAATAATGAATTATTTAAGCATTTAAAATCCAGCTTTGATCGTTAAAAAGTTTTTATTTTCCTATTAGTAAACATAAAATATTAAATATCTCGTAAACAATTAATTTTATTATAATCGTACCTTGATACTTTTGTAAATAGAATAATGAAAAGAATCAATTGATGTAAAGAAAACACATAGTTGTTTATTTTAAAAAATTATCCATTTTACTTATATACTTTTTAAAGCATCTTATATGTTTTCCTTATCAATTAATTCATCTCATTATTCTGTTTATTTTTATATGTAGAATATAATTAGAGGAATACATAAAGCTGATCAGACAATTAAATACCAACAATAAGATCAGAATTAAAACAAAGAATGCACTAACAGCAGAAATGCTAATAACAATAGGGATCCGACAAGGAGATAGCTTTAGTCCAATCCTTTAAACTTTAACATTGTGATAAATGAGGTAGTACAAATGAAGAAAATGGACAGAGGATTTAAAAAATAAGGCAGACAACCGGTAAAATAATATGTTATACTGATGATGCTATTCTAATGGCCTAAAGACGAACTGCAACATTTGCTGTATAGGTTCACTAAGGCTTTAAAGGAGCTTAATATAGAAATCTCGATTGAAAAAATTAAATCTGTGGTGATATTTAAAGAACTCGAAGTAAATTAGTGATATACGACAGCATTATTAAATAAGTGATGAGTTTTAAGGGTAAAAGTACCGATTAGGGAATTAAGCTCCAATGACCTTGATCTTGATATATGTTGTCAAGGTCATGGCCTTGAATGACTTCTAATAGTTCTTAATTGTCGCTGTTATTCGTTAAAAAGTTAACAATCAAAGTTGGTAATTATTTCACTACTTTGCGTGAGAAGGGTGGCTCTAGACAAGGAGGAGGTATGGGGTGAACTGATTAGGAGAGTCAATTACACGAAGCGAAATCCATCTCACCTTTCCCTGCTTAGAAGCGCGTCACTTTCCATACGAAAGGCTTACCCTACCTTTCTTCCTGCTTAGAGGCGTACGATTTTCTAGGCAGGGGGATTATAATGTAGACCTCGCTTTATGTGGAAAGTGCGGGGGGGGGGAGGAAGATGGGACGCATCTCGTTTCGTGTGAAAAGTTGAACGTTCTTAAGCAGGGGGAGGTGTAGGGTATTACTTAATATTAAATATAGCAGAAATGTGACGTTATTTCTTAAACTTATTTTGTTACCTAACGAGAATGGATTGAAATGGATTAAAATGGATTCAGATTTTCAGAAATACGGATTCATGAATGTTAAAATGAATCCTTTTCAATCCTGAATTCCAATGCATTTTTATTCATTTATAGGAATTGCATAAAGCAAATGTCTATGTCTTTTCAATTCTGAATTTTTATTCATTTATAGAAATTACAGTATATCATACAGGCATAGTATATCTCTATGCCTTTCGATCTAAAAATATTAGCATTTTCTGTGCATCGTGAATACTATTCAGTTCAGAATTATGAATAGAAAGTACAGTTTTTTTTTAATTCAGTTAAATTCGAAAATAATATCAACAATTTCTGTGCAACGTGAATACTACTCAATTCAATATTCTGAATATGAAATGCAATTTTTCAATCTAATTGAATAAAAACAATTTTTATTTAAAAATGGACCATAAATGCTACTTAAATTATTCAAAATTATAAGTAGGAAATTTTTCGTTTTAATCCAAATAAGTTCAAAAATGTTGTAATGTAAAAATAATTGAGCTATGTTCTTTTGTTTCTCTTTGATTAGAAGTAAAATGAATGATCAATGTGAATACTCACAAACCAAGTCGAACACAACCCGAATAGAATATTAGACTAATCATGGTGCGCGATATTGGCCAAACGAGATTAGATTATCCGATATTTACCCAATGTTGTCTCATAGTAATGTAAATTATGTATTTATATTTTATTGTACCTGTTAAATTATGATATTTTTATTATATCTATATAATTTTGTGCACTGATTTAGCTGGTTGTAATTGAAGTACAGAATGAATAACACATTTACCAATTGAAGAAATAGTGTGTATAACGGGTAACGTAGAAAACTCATCATCCAGAAGTCCCAGGTTCGAATCTCATTAAGGTGCGTTTTTTAATACCAATTTGAAGTAGTTAATTTCAGGTATAATTATTATAAATGTCTTAGGAATCAAATTTGTAATCCTTAAATATGAATGTTTTTTTTCGAATATTAAACTAGTGTCATCTCGGATCCAATCCATTTCAATCCATTTAATCCATTTTCATAAATTTAAAGTACGCATTAAAAAAATTTTAATCCATTTTAATCCATTCTCGTTTGCTGAGTAATAACTTTTTAATCGAATAACGAGCGACGGCTAAAACCTGTTTGGAGGCCACTCAAGGTCATTGCAATTTGGTCTCCTAATCGGTACTTCAGCTTCGCATTGGTACAAAAATATAACGCATATACTAAAATATGTGTAAAAACCATGTACAAATGTAAATTATCTAATAACATGTCTGCAGATGATCTTCCAGCAAACGAGAATGAATTGAAATGAATTGAAATGGATTCAGATTTTCAGAAATATTGATTCACGAATGTTTTTAAAATGAATGTTTTTCAATCCTGAATGCATTTTTATTCATTTATAGGAATTGCATAGAGCATATCTCTATGCCTTTCAATCTAAAAATAATATTAGCTTTTTCTGTGCACACACAACACATTGTGAATACTGTTCAATTCAAAATTTTGAATAGGAAATGCAGTTTTTCAATCCAATTGCATCTAATTGCATTTAATTGAATCCAATTAAATTCAAAAAAAGTGTTCACTATTTAAAATATGCATTCGGATAGAAAAAAATTTCAATCCATTTTAATCCATTCTTGTTTGCTGGGCTGTGATTCGGTTATATAGGATGTCTCTAACTTATGGAATTGCCTGTCATTAGCAGGTAGAACGGACTGAACTGAGTCGAAAAGTCCTTTACTATTTTGTAATTTTCGCAATAGGAGATATTAATTTCTAAAGATAATTGAATAAGCACGTATTCGCGCGGATTTCCGCCAAGTATACACCCATTGGTGAGAATTTGACCTCTGTTTCGAAGGAAAGTTCAGAAAGCAGAAGAAACAGGACACAATCTAATAGAAGAGGAAGAAGAAGAAGAAAAAGAATTAGAGAAACCATATTATATAAAAAAAGATTATATAATTTTATTTAAAAAGTGAAGGTGACCCTCTTTCTGGTGTCTCCATACAAAAAAATAACATAATCAAAATACGTCCCCTTCGAAACGGTCTTTGTCTGTAACATTTTTCAGTTTTTTCTGAGTGATTGACTTGTCACACTTTATATGGATCGCCAGATAGCAGCTGGTATGTTGCTTGTATGTTGCTTGTTAAGTATGTGTTACTACCAGAATTGCAGCAACTGAGTCATTTATTAGCAACTTGATGTATCCACGATATGACAACATTACTATTTTGTGCGATTTTGCTGAGACATACTTTGCTATCTGGGTTATCATGTATAATTATTTTACCTATATATCCTATCTTGCACCAAGGAATCCATTATAGTTCCGTCTATCTCGCCGAAGAATTTTCCGGTATGCTCATGACGTTCACTTATAATAATAAATCCATTGTTATCTAGAATGTAACAATCGAGTTCCTCCGAGGCGCAATTCTTTTTACATCCTGTCATTCCGGTACACTAAAATAACGGATTTACTCATATTTTACGTGATAATTATGCGTAAAAAAAAAAATACGTTTACTTACTGTCGAAGTAATGTTCACAAAATGAGTTGCCAAAGATGAGTGTTGGAATTGCAAACCTACTACTACTGCAGGAGCTTTGTGACCTTTTCCGATGAATACAGCATGGGTGGCAGTGACGAGTGGATCGGTCGTATCGGCTAATAATTCAAAAATCATATAAATAATTGATACAACATCAATACGCAGCGACGTCAGTCAGTTAGTTAATTAGTTACATCAAAGTGAGAAAGGAAATCTTTGGGAAATCTAGGATTATGTGCACGAGTTCTATATATTTGATTACACATATGGCTCACGCATAAAAAAACAAAGAAGAAAGTTTATCAATCATATTATTCATATTGGCATAAAACTTATTTTAAATTATGATATCTATAAAGCATTTCGGTAAAAAACAAAGGACCTAGCCGATTAAACATATAAAAAGTGTCTCCAAATCAAATCCAATTTTGAATATGTCATTGTTAAGCTCGATAAAAGATTATTTTACATCACATTTCAATCTGTTAAACCTATCCATGAGTTATAATTAATTATAAAGTTAAAAATAAAGTATAAAGTAAAAAACGTCAATTTCAATTTTTTTTATTTTCCTACCGTGTAAATTAAAAAATCTGAAAAAATTTGACACTTTTTAGCATATTACGTTAAAAAAAATTTTTTTTAGATTTTTGACCAAAAATTTGAATTAAAAAAAATGAAAAAAATTTTTAATGAATGTTTTTTATTAAAAATATTTGAAGACTGTTTTAAAAAAATTATGGTGAATTAATCATTCCATGATAAATGAAATATGTCATATTCAGATTTTTTAAAAGTGTAGAGCATTGTTTCAAAAATTGAAAACCAGTTTTTTAATATTCTTTATTTGTATTTTCCTAGCAGAATTATATTTAATATAATACTATTATGTTTAAATATACATTATTATAATTATACATACATTATTTTGAAATATTTTATACAATATGGGATGTGTATTCAAAAGTAACCGATTTTTAAAATGAAATTATAGTATAAGGAAAAAAAATATATATTTAATTTTTTTGATATTTAATTATTATAGTAATGTCGTATGCATAAAAAAATTTTTGTGTGTCTCAGTTAATACGTTTTTTTTTGTTGAAACTATTTTGGGGGCCACAAAGAATATTCGAAAATTGAAAATAAGAGCTTTAATTTTTACAAATGTTTTAAACAATTTTATTATTTTTTTTATCCAACTTTTGTTTATTTACAAATGGTATGCAAGAAATGTTAAAGCTAGGAGCTTTCCATCAAGGAGCTTTCCAATGCATTTAAGCGATACGCATCGACACAGTGTCGGACAGTGTTTTCCAATAACGATACAACACAACATAAGTTTACACAGTCAAAAGGGGACTCTGTCGATGCGAGTCACCTAAAAGCCTTGATTGATGAAAAGCTCCCATAAATTTATGTTAAAATACGTATATTTACCTGCGTCAAATGGTACGCTGAAAACGAAGCTTTCCGGTTCTATGGAATGTTGATCTACTGCGCGTTTGTACCATGATGAATCCATGGCTCTTGCATGTCTTTCGGCAAATCGCCTGTACAATTAATTTTGCAAGATTAGATAATAAAATCATAAACATCCATCGTTTTCCAAAATTTTTGATTTAACATTAAACAAATACTATTTTCCGTATGCATAATTCTCAGCATTTATCTGACAGTCTTATTGTTAAAAATAGGCTCACGGTTCCTCGGTGTTTCCGTCATTCTGTTGATGTTCATGCCATCGCAGGAGTCCGCTCCTGGTCGCGATAAAGCTCCTGGTGACGCCGAATCTACCCTTGCCCTGACTGCAATTGCAAAACAAGTTATGTAAACTGTATTCTCAGCGGAACAGCAAATACGCCATTATTTGGTACGCAATTATTTGCATATTCAATAGCTGAATTGCAAATCAAACTAATTGCTTTAATCGTGGCACATGGAGCGATTTCTGATTAATAGTTTTGAGCTTGCAACTTCTCTTTCGTCGATTAAAATACGAGGAACCAAGTGCGAGATGAAATAAAGCCGCGAAAACGCAGATTTGACGTAGCCGGACATTCGAGGGTCTTACATTAACGTATACTTATTAATTTTGGTACTTTATAAGTTTGATAATCTGAATTGGAGGCAACGATATATTTAAATATATACAACGATATACATATTTTAATACGCAACAAAAAATATATATTTTTTTTAATTTGCGTTCAATAATCACAACGTTAATTGTATTGTATATATAGAGTGTCTGATACACGACAGTAGAATCAAAAAAGAAAGTAATTCCTTAATGAAAATTCGAAATACACATACATACTAGCTTGATCAAAAAGTTTCCGGAATTCATTCAGAAAATTCAAAATACAAGTTTATTCATCAAAAGTGATATTGTCCCCTTCAAAGTACTCTCCAGCGACTGCAACACACTTATGCCAGCGCTTGATCCAGCTCTCGAAACATTTCTGGAACTCTATTATTGGTATAGCCATCAGAGCCGTCTTCGATTTTTCCATTACCTCCTTTCGGCTGTTAAAACGCGTTCCCCGCAGTGGTTTTTTGACTCGATCGAACAGAAAAAAATCGCAGGGAGCCATATCGGGTGAATTCGATGGCTGTTGGATGGTATTCATTTTGTTCTTGATCAAAAATTCACGGATAATGATGGCACTGTGCGACGGTGCGTTATCATGGTGCAAAATCCACGAGTTGTTTACCTACAAATCCTTTCTTTTTTGGCGAATTGCTTCACGCAAACGTCTCATAACGCCCAAATAATACTCCTTATTAACTGTCTGACCTTCTGACAAAAATTCGTGATGTACAATACCGTTGTAATCCATGAAAACCGTGAGCATCGCTTTCTTTTTCGACTGATTCCTCGACGGATTCACGACCACTTCTGAAGCGTTCATGCCACTCGTAAACGGTTGTTTTCTTTAGAACATCACTGCCGAAACAGTTTCCCAACATTTCCAAGGTTTTCGCACCATTGAATCCATTTTTAACGCAAAATTTAATACAAACTCGTTGTTGCAAATTCAACTCCATTTTTAAAACTGTAAAAAATCGAAAACACGCGCAGAGATAGATGAACTCAAGACGGCGTAATTTTTACAAATGTCAAGCTATGGCGATAAAATTTGATGGAAATGTCAATGATAGATGTGGCAACCTAGCCAAAACAATAATTAACGAAATATTAACGTTTAAAAATAGCCGAATGTGCACATCCTCCCGACCTATTATTGCCGAAGTACGGCCCACCGAGCGCGCGGAACCGCGAGAAACGGGGCTTACCGTCACGAGCATCTAAGCTCAAAGGGCGCGGCGCGCCTACTAGGCCATTCCCGCTCTTCGCGGCCCGCGCGGCGTGGGCTCGGATCACCTGGTGGTCTCTTCCGGAAACTTTTTGATCAAGCTGGTATACATATATAGAGGGTGGCATGAATATACGGCCCCACTCGTCCCGAGCAGGTAGAGTGGACTAAACTGAATAGAAAAGTCCTCTACCATTTTGTAATGCTCGCAATAATTAACGAGATATTAA